CAAAACAACACTAAGATATCACCTCAAGCCCATTAGAATGGCTATAATCACCAAGACAAAAAACAACAAATGTTGGAGAGGATGTGGAGAAACAGGAACCGTCATACACAGCTGGTGGGAATGCAAACTGGTCTATGGAAAACTCTATGGACATTTCTAAAAAAATTAGAAATACCCTATGATCCAGCTATCACACTACTGGGAATCTATCCAAAGAACCTGAAATCAACAATCCAAAGAGGCTTATGCACCCCTATGTTCATCGCAGCATTATTCAATATAGCCAAGAAGTGGAAGCAACCTGAGTGTCCCCCGACTAATGATTGGATCAAGAAGATGTGGAATATATATATACAATGGAATACTACTCAGCCATAAAAAAAGACAAAATCATCCCATTTGCAACAACATGGATGGGCCTGGAGGGTATTATGTTAAGTGAAATAAGCCAGAAAGAGAAAGGTAAACACTGTATCATCTCTCATATGTGGAATATAAACCAACACATGGACAGAGAATAGTGTATTGTGGTTACCAGGGGCAATGAGTGTAGGGCGTGGGCACAAGGGGTGAAGGGAGACATACATATCGTGATGGACAAACAAAAATATACAACCCAAAATTTCACAATGTTATAAACTATTAAAACATCAATTAAAAACAAAAAACAAAATAAAACAACAGGAGCTTTCTTAAGCCTACTCTCAGAATTTGGGGCAGTTGGACACATTGTGAGATGCTGGGGGCTTGAGGGCTTATGACTATCAGTGGGTGTTAGGTCATTTCAGGAAGAAATCCCCAATAGGAAACAATTATGGATGTGGGATTGGGTCCCCAATGAAAGTAATATATCTCTTTTCTGAATTACCAGGAGAGTTGCCACCCAGCTCTTTGAGATTACCCAAATTGATAACTTTTCAGTGTCTTCTCCCCATCATACAGCCACTCCCCCACCCCCAAATCTATTTTTTGAGAATGTATAACCCCTATTGCTCCCAGGTGACTGCCCAGGATGTGCGGAAGGAAAGTCCTCTGCTCTTCAAGTTCCGGGCCAAGTTCTACCCTGAGGATGTATCCGAAGAATTGATCCAGGATATCACACAGCGCCTGTTCTTCCTGCAAGTGAAGGAGGGCATTCTCAATGATGATATTTACTGTCCACCTGAGACTGCTGTGCTGCTGGCCTCCTATGCTGTCCAGTCCAAGTATGGCGACTTCAATAAGGAAGTCCACAAGTCTGGCTACTTGGCCGGGGACAAGTTGCTGCCACAGAGGTAAGGTGGTGCCCAGGCCATCTGCCCTGGCTGGAGGGGACTGCAGCCCAAGGCTGACTGATTCCTATTACACAGGGGCTGCCAGATCTATTCCTTTCCACTACAATCTGTCTGAAGACCACGTTATGCTGCACAGAGAAATGTATTTGCATATGGCACCATACCCTATTGTTTCTCTGGCTCTCAAAATAAGAAGCTTTTTTTTCCCCTCTGTTTGCCTGATTACAGAACTTCATTACCCTGGAAACAGGTGCTTATACAGAGAACCAGAGATGGATGGATTTTCTCCCCCACCCCTCACATTCCATTTTCTCAATCCTTTTCACTGATTTAGACCTCTTAAATCAGAAGTTCCCAGGAGAGAGAGAGAAATACATAAGCCAGGGATGTGGGGAGCTCAAAATAGTCTTTTAATATTGATAACCAGTGTACAGAGCTTTCTGCCTTTGTAAACTTCAAAGTTGAGCACTCTCAAACACTCATTATTTTTGTTTTAGCATCACTACTAAATGATGGCATTATCATTATTTCCTGGCTAAAGAAATAGAGGTGCAGAGGTGGTTGCTCTCTTGCCCAATCTCCCACAGCTCATTTGAGGCAGAGCCAGATCTGGAATCTTAGTCTCTTGATTTTTTTAACCCTGGGTTTTTATCCACTGTATCCAATGGCCATTTTCATAGGCTTTTGGATTGGAAGGAAAAGTTCTGCTTCATCCTGGGAGACTCAGTCCCATTGGAACTGTGGCATATGCATAACTCACCTGGAGGTATTAGGGATAGTGGTTGTGCCCTGGGACTCTACCTGAGTCGCTGCTATTATGTCTGAGATGGCATATTTAAAACAAGCCAGGGAGCTGGCCCAGTGGCGTAGTGGTTAAGTTTGCATGCTCCACTTCGACAGCCCGAGGTTCGCAGGTTCAAATCCTGGGCATAGACTGGCGCACTGCTCATCAAGCCATGCTGTGGTGGCGTCCCACATACAAAATAGAGGAAGATGAGCACAGGTTTTAGCTCAGAACCAATCTTCCTCACCAAAATAATAATAATAATAATAATAATAAAATTAAAAAAATAAAACAAGCCTTATGATCTAGTAGATCTGGGAGGTTGAGCCAGTTAGTTTCTCCCAAAGCCATTTGGGCTCAGTTGTCTGTTCTGTATCCACAGGCTATAATCTCATCCCTGAGCAATATTCTCACAAATATGAACTGTTGGTCCCACAAGGATTAGGAGAGAGTGTCCATGCCTCTGTGAGGCCCAACCCTATTCTTAGTCCCACAAGTCAGCACAGACTTAATACATTACTGCTCTGCTTGGGGACCATAGCACGCTATTGGATTTTCTGGTTAAAGGTACAAAGGAAGGTGTTCCCATTGTCTTTCTTGGTCATCCATTTTTGTCTCTATCCTACCTCTCAGGCAGTTTTCTACATCTAATTAATACCTCCTGCTATAATTTCAGTCTGCTTCCAGTGTGACCTCAGTGGGCTGACTCCACGTCCTGTTTGTATCAACCCCTTAGAGAGCTAAGTGGGTTTCCATTTACACTTACATTTGGGCTTTGTGCTTTAAACTACTCACTACCCATTGTCTTTCTAGGGTCCTGGAGCAGCACAAACTCAACAAGGACCAGTGGGAGGAGCGGATCCAAGTGTGGCATGAGGAGCACCGGGGCATGCTCAGGTAAGCCCAACCTACCAACTGTGAGCTCTTACAGGGAGAATAAGAGTTGGTTCTGGGGAGAGAAGAGGTAAAGGACGAGAGACACTGGAGCATGTTGGAAAGAGAGGGACAGGAGTGTAGTTTACAGAGGAAATTAGAGATAGAGGGCAAATCAGGACCATTATATAAGCTGTGTTTTCTGTGAATGATGGCAACTGATAGTGCAAATAGTTTAGACCATAAAGAAATGGAGGGGACCTCAGGATCCATAGGGAGCTTCTGGGTCACCAGGGGCTCCTCCCCAAGAGATAAATGGGGAAGGAACTCTAAATATGGCAAACCATTGGGTAGTTGTCTAGATGAGGAACAAATATTATTTTGCCATCACCACTCCATCTGGGCTCTGCTAAGAATGTGCCTGTCTAAGAGGATTCTATGGCAGCTAACATGTGAGAGGCCAGCAAGGGTCAGCTCACCCTTATTCCCCTTGGGAACCTCGAACCTTAGGCTCCTGCCAGCAAGTTTTTCTTATGAAAAGTCATGTTGTGCTCTGTTTGTTACCATCTACTTACTTTCCATCCTTTTCCCATCCTTCAAGGCAAGATCCTTGTCAGAACTGCAAAGCAGGTAGGCTTTCTATCTCCCTGAGTCTGATTCACAGGCTCCCGCCTATAACCTCCCATTCTGTTGTTTAGGGAGGATGCTGTCCTGGAGTATCTGAAGATTGCCCAGGACCTGGAGATGTATGGTGTGAATTACTTCAGCATCAAGAACAAGAAAGGCTCAGAGCTGTGGCTGGGAGTGGATGCCCTGGGTCTCAACATTTATGAGCAGAATGACAGGTATAGCTCAGAACTCTTAGTTTATTTGGGCCACTCAGACACCTAGGGCTCACCAGGGAGTAGGACTGTACCTCCTGAGTCCCACCTGGGTAGTTTTTTTCCTACCTAGTTTAGACCAGTCCGGATGATTGCACAACCTCCCTTAGGCCTCTAAATCTTGCATTGACTACACTTGCATTGCCCACTATAGTAGCCACTGGCCACATGTGGCTATTGAGCACTTGAGGTATGGCTACTATGAATTGAGGTGTGCTGTAACTGTAAATTACACACTGGACTTTGAAGAGTTAATGTGAAAATTAACTCTTAACAGAATTAACAGAATGTAAAAGGTTTCATTAATATTTTTTAAAATATTGATTTACACATTCAAATGATAGTATTTTGGATCTCCTGGGTTAAATGAACTGTTATAGTTAATTCCACTTATTTCTTTTTACTTATTTTCGTGTAGCTACTAGAAAATTTAAAATTGCATGTGTGGCTTTCATTATATTTCTATTGGACAGCACTGGCCTAGAACTTACCTTGTGAAGAGTTGTAATTAATCCCACTTCCATATGATGATTAAGTGCCGTTTGGCCTATAATCCCTCTTACTACAGCCTTATCTCACTTGCTTATTTTGTTTCTTGGTCTGCTCTTAGTGATGATGAAGATCAGTATATTATTGTTCCGTGTAACTTCTGAATCTTGGAGCTTATTATTTACCTTCTCCCCAACTTTTACAACTTTGGGTGGAAGAGTCACAGTTAAGTAGGGCTGGAGATTCTTGTGTGAGATTGTTTCAAGGTCCATGCCTCAACAAAAAATACAGTAAAATACACCTCAGAGATTAGGACAAGGAATAATATTTCAGCTGTGGTATCAGAAGGTTCTTTGTGCACCCTAAATGCTGGCAACTGACCTGGTGGCATGTGATGACACTGGCTGAGATGGCAATGAATCTACCTCCTTAAAGAAGAAGTTGATGGGGAGTAGGGCAAGGCAGCGACCTTCTATGTCCTTCTTGTCTTGCCCCTGTCCTGATGTTCTTGATCTCCATTTCTACAGACTGACTCCCAAGATAGGCTTCCCCTGGAGTGAAATCAGGAACATCTCTTTCAATGACAAGAAATTTGTCATCAAGCCCATTGACAAAAAAGCCCCGGTAAGTGACTCCTCCCATTGGCCAAGACAGGTACCCACCAAGACCTGTATAATGCTAGGAGCAATCATGTTGTTGTATTTTTCTGTCACTTTTCTGGCTTGCTTTTTTTTTGATGTGAGTGGGAATGGGAGGCACAAAAGGAGATTGGCGATGGAAGGGGATGTTGATGGGAAAAATTGCCAGGAGACATCCTATACCTGGTACCACCCTGCTACGTGTGTCTCAGGAGAAACATGGATGAGGGAGAGCCACAGGCAGTCTAAGTGCTGCCTCTTAGCCATTGTCTTCTGATGCCCTGAAGCTCTGGAGTGGAAACAGAGCACATCTTATCTTTTAAAGCCTCTAGGCCCCAGAAAGTAGAAACTGTTCACGGACTTGATTTATCTTTAATTGTGGAGAAAAGACAGAGCCAGTAGCAGTTCAGATCCCAAGATGATCCTCCAAACTTGCTTTTTGGTATAACTTTGCTGCTGTCCTCTCAAGACTTTTTTCCGGAGCAACCCAAGAACAAGAAAATGCTTTGGGTCCAGTCATTCCTCTAATGTGCTACACTTTTCACCTACTCATTGCCTGTGGCTGAGAAAACCAGAAAGCTAGTGATTGAGAGTAGGTTAGAAAATTGAGATGAGAGTCTCCTCTTCTGGTGTACCTTGTGTCTAACAAGGGCCAATGGCCATGCTGAGCCAGACCCTTCTCATGAGGCCTCAGCCATTCTTCTCCAGCCCAGAGGTCTCTGAACTTCCCCTGCTAGGTACTTTATATATGCTGTCTCCTTAAACCCTCAACAACATTGTCAGGTAGGTAGTAGCATACCCATTTCATAACCAATGAAATTGAGGTTCAGAGAGTGGAGTGATTTGCCTAAGATCACACAGCTAAAAGTGGTAGAGCTGAGATTTGAACCTAGGTCATTTGACTACTAGAGTTTGTGCTCCTTCCACTGAACCCCAAGCTATATGAGATGGTAGCAGTTTGGGTTCAGTGACAGAAGAGCTGGTGGTTAGTATATCAGCTGGTGACCTTGGTCCAGTGGTATTTGTAATAACAAACTCAAACTCACTGGATTTTCTTGTGTGTGTGTGTTTTTTGTTTAACTGCCACTGTGCTCAACTTTCATCAGAAAAAGGTAAGTAACAAAGCCAGCTGAGATCAAGAGCTTATTTACAAAACAACAACAACCAGGACAATTGATGTTCAGGAGGTTTATGTGTTCATATAGGTATTTATAACTTGCCTTATTCAAAAAAGGATTTAAGAGGCTAGGTCTAATATATGCTTTTAGGAGATTACAGAAACAGTCCAGTCACCCATACTGCACTCACCAGGGTATTATGTAGGGATTATTGGGCCATTAAGAGAGGCCCCTGAGACTTAGCAGTATCCCTAATCAGCAGATAAAGTTAGTTCCTATCTTTTAACTGGATTGAGAATATTTTAGGATGCTTTTCATAAGCAAAGGTTAAAAGAAATTGTGGTTTGATGGAAAGAGCACTGGTTTCAGAGTCAAGAAGCCTGGGTTCTAGTCCTGGGTCTGCCACTAACCTGCTGTCTGACCCTGAGCAAGTCACTTCACTGCTCTGATAATTAGTTTTCCCATCTGTAACATGAGAAAATTGGGTTAAATAATCTTTTCAGTGCTTTTGGACTTAGCTTTTCAGAAGGCAGAAGCTCACCTACATCTGTCCCTCCAAACTCTTTCCGATTGCTGGTTTCCCACCAGGACTTTGTCTTCTATGCTCCCCGGCTACGGATTAACAAACGGATTTTGGCCCTGTGCATGGGGAACCATGAGCTATACATGCGCCGCCGCAAGCCTGATACTATCGAGGTGCAGCAGATGAAGGCACAGGCCCGGGAGGAGAAGCACCAGAAGCAGATGGAGCGGTAGGTACTATGGAGCTGGAGTGGGGCCAGGGCCAGGGCAAGGAAGCTTCTCAAAGGTGCCAAGCCTGCTACAGGCAGGACATGAAGCCATCCCAGGACTGGGAGAGAGAGAGAGAGAGAGCTGTACATGGATGACACCCCTTCCATTAAGTCTCAGGCATCCCCGACCCCAGGAAATAGGCATCAGAAGCCTAGGATTTCAGAGGCTCATAGGAAGGTGGGGCATTTCATAGTTCCCCATTGTCTATAATACTCATGCCATTGCTCTTTTAGTCAGACTCTGAGTTGCTCCAGGCTATGTGACCAGTATAGTAGCAGTAGCAGAAGGCTCCATGCACATTTAAACCTGGACTTGGTAGGATTTTTTGAGTGGAATTGGGCAGAGCCACCAGAATTTTCCCTACAAAGCCCCTATGTACTGTAGCCCCTTGCTACTCAAAGTGCAACAAGGCTCAGCAGCATCAGCATCAACTTGGGAACTTGTTAGAAAGGCAGGATCTGAGACCCTACCCCAGACCTACTGATTCAGAATCTATATCTTAAGATCTCAGGTGATTTCTCCAGAGAAGATATGCAAATGGACAGTAGGCACGTGAAAACATTCTTAGTCATCAGGGAAATGCAAATCAAAACCACAGTGAGATACCACTTAATACTTACTAATATGGATATAATAAATAAAAACAGAAATAACAGCTGTTGGCAAGGATGTGGAGAAATTGGAACTCATATACATTGCTGGTAGGAATGTAAAATGGCTCAGCTGCTGTGGAAAACAGTCTGGTGGTTCCTCAAAAAGTTAAGCATAGAGTTACCATATGATCTCACAATTCCACTCCTAGGTGTGTACACAAAAGAATTGAAAACAGGTGTTCAAACAAGTACATGTACACACATGTTCATAGCAGTGCTATTTATAATAGCAAAAAGGTGGAAACAGCCCAAATGTCCATCAGTGGATGAATGCATAAACAAATTGTGTAGCCATACAATGGAATATTATTCAGCCATAAAAAGGAGTGAGGTACTGATATATACTACAATGTGGATGAACCTCTAAAACATCATGCTAAGTGAAAGAAATCAGACATAAATTGTATGATACCATTTATATGAAATATCCAGAATAGATCAATCTATAGAGATAGAATGCAGATTGGTGGTTGTCAGGGGCTTGGGGGAGGGGAGAGGGGCAGAAACTGCTTAATGGGTATGGGGTTTTACTTTGGAGTAATGGAAACATTTTGGAACTACATAGATGTGGTGGTTGCACAACATTGTGAATATACTAAATGCCATTGAATTGTTTGCTTTAAAATGTTTAATTTTATGTTATGTGAATTTCACCTCAATAAATTATTTAAAAAATAAGATCTCAGGTGATTTCTATATATGTTAAGGTTTGAGAGCATTGTTCTAGTCTGTCATAAAGAATTTGGGACCTCGGAGGCTTCTAAGATAGTAGGCTGGAAAATGACTCCATGTATAAGAAGTTAGACACCAAAGTTCACATTTATTCAGAAAAATTAACTGAGATCAGGGGCAGTTTACAGAGCTAGATCTGGCAGGAACCTACCCTCAAGGACCTCACAATCTAGTAGGAGAAAGAGGAAAAACAGTATGTATATAACTGTTCAAATATTGTGTCGTTCATTCACTCAAATATTTATTCAGCAGTGAAAAAAATAGACAAAAATCCCTGTTCTCATGAAGCTGTCATTCTAGTGGGAAGAGACAGACAGAAAAAATAAGCAAATTATACGGTATGTGAGATGGTAAGAAGTGTTATGGACAAAAATAACAGGGAGGATGGATGGGAAGAAGGATAGGCCAAGTATTCAGAGGGCTTAGAGAGAGAAAAGACATCTAGCCAATGGAGAAAAGAAGACCTCCCGGAAGAGGTGCTGGGGCAAGAAAAAACAAATACTTATTCTAGATCGCAACAAATTCTGGGAAAACGGAGCCTAGAGCTGGGCTTCAGAGGGCAGGCAGAGTTAAGCCTGAGGACTGGTGCCCTAGCCATAAAGATCAGCAGACTTAAAGCACAGTATCCCAGAACAGAGCCAAAACTTGCCTCCCTATAACTCCATGAGATAGGGGACTTATTGGGCTTAGGGGAGCAAAGAAGTGACATAGCTAAGGTCACTCAATGGTTACTCACTGGTTAGTGGCGGAACTGGGAGTCCAAGTTAGATATCCTCACTCTGACAGGGCCCTGAGCATACTGGCCCATATGGGTCTATGATGTGAGGACAAGGATGTGGAGATAAGGGAGAGTAGTCCCAACTCACAAGTCCTGAGTGTGTTGGATGAGTGGGGTCTGAAGGTCTAGGGCCAGAGACCCTTGGAGATCCCAAGGCTTTCATGTGGCCTTGCTATCCTGTTCCATCCCTTCTTTCTCCTTTCTTAGTGCTCTGCTAGAAAATGAGAAGAAGAAGCGTGAGATGGCAGAAAAGGAGAAGGAGAAGATTGAGCGGGAGAAGGAGGAACTGATGGAGAGGCTGAAGCAGATCGAGGAACAGACTAAGAAGGCTCAGCAAGGTGAGGCTTGAAGTCACCTTGGAGACTGGGTTTTCCCAGAACCTGGAGACCCTTCTGCCTCTGCTGCAGACTCAGGCTGTATAATCCAGATGTAGCTATAGAATAGATGAAGTAGGGCAACAGGAAGAGTGCTCAGAGCTTTTTGCCGGTTGTGCCCTGGGGTGAAGCATTTCCAGGAAGGAAGCTAGGTGTCCCTTCTTTCTTCACTACCTTTTCCCCTCCTTTTCTTCTCAGAACTGGAAGAACAGACTCGCAGGGCTCTGGAACTTGAACAGGAGCGGAAGCGTGCCCAGAGCGAGGCTGAAAAACTGGCCAAAGAGCGTCAAGAAGCTGAAGAGGCCAAGGAGGCCCTGTTGCAGGCTTCCCAGGACCAGAAGAAGACCCAGGAACAGCTGGTAAAGCTGCAAAATGGACTGGGATTGTGGGACCTGAGTTTTTCCCCCTGTCTGCCTACCTATTCACAGCTACCTCTGCCTGCAGGGCTGGCTCTTTCCAGCAGGGTGCCACTCTACAGGCCTCCAGCAGATTGTTCATTCAGAAGCAAGCTGAGGAGTCACTGGTGTAGCCCAGAAACCTTTACAGTCTTCCCTCATCTTTACTTTTATTCTGCTTTCTTAGCCCTTGAGGATCTGAGCTGATGACCTGACAAAGGCAAGGGAAGGAAGAAAGAAATAAAGAGCTTCACACTTGATTGACTAGCTATTGTGTATTACAAGCTGTGCTAGCAACTTTTCCCTTTTCCTTACTTTATTTCTTCTTCCCAATAACCCTATGGGATTAACCCATATGGGATAATATGCCCAGATAAGGAAATTATGGCTGAGAGAGGTTTAAGAGACTTGCCAAAGGTCACACTTTTCTGTCTCTCTTTTGAAGGATTTGCTCCCTAAAATCATATGTAAAACTATATGTCTATGCCTTTTTCAGGGGAGGAGGGTGAGCATCCATACTGTCATCACAATTTCCAAGAGTTCTGTGACTCAGAAGTTAAGAACCTGTGGCCCAAATTCCTTGACATATGCTCTTTCTCTGTACTGTTTGGAGTGGGAGTGCAGGGAACTAAGACCTAATTCTCAGGGGAAGCTTCCTCTGGGAGATTTGCCCAAGTGATAGTGTGCATAAGCTTTTTTCACTTGTTTAGATCACCTTGTGACACTTGAGTATCTTCCCTATGCTTGTCCTGGGAAGAGTCTTAGTGGAGAACTGAGCATTCTAGGATAACAGCGAAGGGTCTGCCACTTCAGGCAGTGACACAGTGATTTCCAAAGCCTTATTGAGGCCCTAACTGTGCAGTGGGCAATACTGAGAGAGGGAGGAGGAAAGGAGACATGGAGAGAGGAGAGTAAGAGGGGAGGGGGAGAGGGAGAGGGGAAGGGGAGAGAAGGAGAGGAATGAGGGAGAGGAAGAGGGAGAGAAATGAGGGAGAGGAAGAAGAAGAGAAATGAGGGGGAAGAAGATGGAGAGAAATGAGAGGGAGGAAGAGGAAGTGAAATGAGGGAGAGGGTGTGAAATGAAGGAGAGACAGAGATGACATATTGTTTGTCTTCAGTAGGTCTATAGTTTAGGTGGGGAGCTCTGATATACAAGGAAATAATTTGGATTTAATAGGGTGCTATAGTAGATCTGAGAATAGGAGTGGTCCTCCGGGCTTCTTGGAGGAGGTGTGGTGAAAAGAGCGTCCAGGACAGCAAGCAAGGGAGCAGTAGGTTCCCTAGGGGAGCTGGGGTTGAAGACACCTGGGCTCCGAGGACCAGAAAGCCCTGCTCTCACAAGCTTCCAATTTATCCATAGGCCTTGGAAATGGCAGAGCTGACAGCTCGGATCTCTCAGCTGGAGATGGCCCGACAGAAGAAGGAGAGTGAGGCTGTGGAATGGCAGCAGAAGGTAAGACACAGTGCCCAGAGCAAAGCATTGTGGGAAGGGGTACCACATGCATAGGTTTCAGTTCCCTAGATTCCTTAGGGTTGGGTTCTTTCCCCCTTCTATCCCTCCTTGACAGTGGTCATTATGGGAGAAGGAGGTCAAGGCTTGGGAGAAGGAGGTCAAGGCTTTCTCAGATACTTCCAAGAATTCTCCAATATCCCAGGGAAATTGGTACAATTGCTACTATTGTACAGCTGATGAAACTAAGGATGGGGCAGACGAAGTGACTTGGCCTACCTGGTGCTTGCCTCCTGCTGGGCCTTTCTTGGCACGCATAGGATGCCACAAGTTAGCCTGGTCTGACTGCCAGTCCTTCTCTCCCTCTGTTACTGGACAGGCTCAGATGGTACAAGAAGACTTGGAGAAGACCCGGGCTGAGCTGAAGACTGCCATGAGTACGCCTCATGTGGCAGAGCCTGCTGAGAATGAGCAGGATGAGCAGGATGAGAATGGGGCAGAGGCCAGCGCCGACCTGCGGGCTGATGCCATGGCCAAGGACCGCAGTGAGGAGGAACGTACCACTGAGGCAGAGAAGAATGAGCGTGTGCAGAAGCACCTGAAGGTATCCAGGCAGGGCAAAAGGGTCAAAGAGACCATGTGCATTGACTTAGTAGTCCATGGCCTTCCCTAGGTCATCATGGGGAGATAGGTAGAGGAGCCTATCTCAGTGCTGTATGGGAGCCTGAGCCTTTTTCGAGTGAGAGCTTTAAGGGTAGGCACGCCTCACTTATTAATCAGATCCTGGGCCACCTCTTTGCCTTTTTTTTGGCCCCGTCCTCCACCCATACTCCATTTACCTCTTATATTCAGAAAATACTTAGCTGACTCAATTCCTACCTGAATCTTTGGTATGTTGTTCTACTCTAGGAGAATACCTGTCAGCAGTTGGTCCCCTAAGTTTGTGTTTTTTGTTTTATTCTTGCCCAATTGCAGTCCTACAAGGGCTGGTGGAAATGGCTCTCAAAAAATATGTATGTGTGTGTGTATAAAGGGGGAGTGAGTGGGGGTGGGGAGAGAGAAAAAAAAGAAAAGAGAAAGAGAGAAAGTAAGAAAGATCTAGTTAAATGAGGGGAGGTAAAATGAGAGCAAGCCATTAATCCCTCATCCCCATGGACCCTCACAGGCCCTCACCTCAGAGCTGGCCAATGCCCGTGATGAGTCCAAGAAGACTGCCAATGACATGATCCATGCTGAGAACATGCGACTGGGCCGAGACAAATACAAGACCCTGCGCCAGATTCGGCAGGGCAACACCAAGCAGCGCATCGATGAGTTTGAGTCCATGTAATGGGCACCCAACCTCTAGGGACCCCTCCTCCCTTCTTCCTTGCCCCCACACTCTTACACTCTCGCCTTACTCACATTGTGCTGGAGCCACTAACTAGAGCAGCCCTGGAGTCATGCCAAGCATTCAGTGCAGCCATGGGACCAATCCTAGCCCCTCAGCCCTCACTCTCTTCTCTGAGCAGAGAAATGGCCCACTTGGTGCCAATGGGACCCTCTTTTCCCTCTCTGACCCATTCACTCGAGCTTGCTAGAGGAGACCATTCTCCAGCTCAGAGGCACTTTCCACTTGATTTGGGAAACACCTCCACATTTACTATTGTACTGCCAGGGTCAAGTGAGGAGTAAGTTGAAAACTAGTCCCCACCCCTGCCCCACTACTGTCTTCCTCTTCTAGGATCTGTGATTTGCAGAATTGGAACTTCACAGGGTTTAGGGAAGGAGGCAGGGCCCTGGCTATATGCTCTAGGATGTCAACTGACCTAGGATTAGGCCTCCCAATGCCCGTTCTTTCAAGAGTATTTAGGCTTTGTAATGCTTGAAGGCTAAAAAGATATTCAGTCATTCTTGACTTTACCTCCCAGATTGGGCCTGTTACAAACTCAGTCCCAATAAGCCTTGTCCTTGAGTTCAGGGACTCACTTTCTCCCCAGGGTGAGATGGGGGAGACGGTCCCTGCAACAGGCTTCACCAACATCCTAGAAGGACATTGGTCCTTCTATAGGCAAGGCTGGGTAGAAGTTCTTGCCCTAATGCCTTATGGGAGCCTAGGCTTGTTTCAAGTGAGCTCTATGGGCAGAGGTATCCCTTACTTATTATTCTGGGTTCCTCCACTTTTCTTGGGATCTGCCCCTCCCCACTCCAATCCCCAAATCCCCTCCAGCTAGAACAGTAGGGATGGTTACCCAAAAACCCAGCCAGACTAATATCCTGATTTTTGGTTACCCAAAAGTCCTATCCAGAATTCTTGCCAAAGGGAGGAAATGTTCACACCTGGTCTCAGTATTTTCCCTGGCAGGGGTTCCAGGCCACTTCTCCCATCAGAGCTACTTAGGCCACAGCTCCTGCTTCAGGGCCATCCAGGCCTTAGTATGTTGAGCCCTGGAGCTTGATATCAGTTGGCTCAATGATGAGTGGGTGGAAGAAGCTGAGTAAGGTGAGAGAAGCCTGTGGCCCGGGTTCCACAGTTTACTTGACCCCCTCAGGTGCCTAATAGCCCCTTCCCATCACCCCCTCAAGGTGGTGACTGGGCCCTGCCTCTGTTTGACAAATTTCTAACCCAGGTCTTGCCACCATCTGTGCTGTCCCTTGGAGCTGTAAACCAGAGCGCTGTTGGCGGCTCTGGCCTGGTTCCTTCCACAACCCCACCCCTTGCTCTCAACCCAGGAGCAGCCTCTTCCTTCTGTCTCATGTGCGCACTCTTTTTCCTTCTACCAGTATTATATATTCTAGTGGCATCTAACTCAATATTGATTTCTCTATTTCTTGCTAATGCACCCTTAGAAGATATTAGTCTTGGGGCAGGATCATTGTGGCCTCATTCCCTTACCACTCCCACACCTGGGAGGTGTGTACTATACTATAAAATAATATTTTGCCAGAAACATTAACATAAGAAGCTTTCAGTATTAGTGATGTCACCTGTCACTATAGGTCATACAATCCATTCTTAAATTACTTGGTATTTGGTTTTATTGTTCCTTTTTTTTTGCCTTTTCCCCAGAGTTCAGTCCTCAAGGGACCATACTGTCCCTCTATGCAGTGTCCCTAGTCCAGAGCCCATGGCTTCGATCCCTCCCTCCTGCCTGCATCCCCCGCCTGACCTTGGGGAGCCTTATGTGAATTATATTGACACTCTCTTGGTGATATGCCCTATATTGGCTAAATTCAAACCTGGAATTATAGGGTAATCTAGCTGCCTTCAGGGCAGTAACCCACCCCCAGGGAGGTTGGGGAGAAAGGTTAGATTTTGTATTCAGGTTTTTTTGTGTGTATTTGTTGGGTTTTTAAAAATTGTTTTTGGAGGGGTTTATGTTCAACCCATGTTCTATTTCAGTGCCAATAAAATTTAGGAAGACTTCACTGTGACTTGATCTTTCTTTGTGTCATGAGTGGGTAGCTGTAAGATACTTCACTGTAATTTCCACTATAGACCACCTTCTCAACTCTGATTTCATTTCATTCTCACCTCAGTCCTATGGGGAGTAGATATGACTATCCTCATTTTATAGTGGAGGGAATAGACTTGATAAAGTAGAATAACTACCCAATGGCACAGGACTGTCTGACTTAATAGCCTATGCTGTTTCCACAGCTCCAGGCCAGTTTTTACAGTGTAGGTGGACCTTGCATTGACCATGTGATACTCCTGGGTTCACTTGGCTTTGGGGCTTTAGGGCTGCTAGTAAGGGGTGGTTTCTATCTCTGGACTCCTCCCGGGGTGGTCAGGCCCTGTCCAGCCTCTTTGTCAAGGAGGCTTCCAGGATTGCTGCCCACCTCCTGCTACCCTTACTTACTGCAGTGCCAACAAAGGTCAAAGAAAGTACCTGGATCCCGGTTGTAAAAGGTGGTGGGGAGTGGAGTATGAAGTGAGGATGGAGAGTATATGCACAAAAGCTTTTGGTCGGCACTTTATGGTTTATAAAACATGTCAATTTTGTAGCCTAGGTATGATTATCCCATTTTTACAGATGAGGAAACAGACTCAAATAAGCCTTCCAGGCTGTCTTGGACCTGGCCTATTCTTTCACTTACCAGCTCCCTTCTTGGTGAGCCAATACTTGCAAGGAAAAGTAAAAGTTATGTATTCTGTGAGCTTTAAATCCTTATAACAACCCTTTGAGGCAGTGGCTCCCAAACATGTCTGCACTTTAGACTCTTAAAGATTCCAAAGCCCAGGCCACTCCCTCAGATCAAATTATAATTTCTAGTAGTCGGACACAGGCAGGCATCAGTATATTTGATGATTCCAATGTGCAGACAAAATTGGGAACCGCTACTCTAAGTTACTATTTTATCCCATTTTACAGATGGAGAAACTGTGGCTCAACAAGATGAATTAATTTGTCCAAGGTCACAGGGATTAGAAGTAGTAGAGCCAGGGTATGAACACAGGCAATCTAGTTCATGAGCCTGTGCTCTTAACAATTATACTATACCTTCTCCCTACCATTCCCATCAGGGGCCTGGAGGAGAACAGACATGTACTGAGAAGAGGAGATACTTGCACAGATTCAATTCTAAGGTAGCAAATAGAACTCTAGGGCCCTAGAAAACTTCAGTGTAGGAGGAGGCCTTAGGAATTTCTGCTAATGATAGTCCCAACTGTTGTTGCCTTGAAGAATGAAGAGATCAAGGTCCCCTCCAACCTCAACCAGAAGATATCTGCTTTTGTATGCTTTGTATGTTGGGTTGTATATGTATAAATAATTTATTTTTTTAAAAGGACAGGTGGAATTCTGCTTCCAGGAAGATGGATGTGGTAGGCATGATGATGGCTCCCCAAAAATGTCCATGGAACCTGTGAATATATTACCTTATGTGGCAAAAGGGACTTGAGGGTGTGATTAAGGATTTTAAGATAGGGGGATGATACTGGATTATCCAGGTGGGCCCAAGGTAATCACAAGGGTCCTTAAAAGATGGAAGAATGTCCAAGTCAGAGAGAGTTGAAGATGGTACGCTGCTAGCTTTGAAGATGGAGGAAGGGGCCACAATCCAAGGAACATGGGTGGCCTCTACAAACTAGGGAAAGAAAGGGAACAGATTCTCCCCTAGAACCTCCAGAAGGAACGCAGTCCTGCCAACACTTTGGTTTAAGTCCAATGAAACCCATTTTGGACTTCTATCTGACCTCTAGAACTGTAAGGTAATAAATTTGTGTTGTTTTAAGCCATTATAGCATTGTTATCCATTTCTCAATATTCTCTGTTCTTGAAATGACAATGTTATAGAAATGGAGAACAGAATAGGTTGCTATAAGTTAAGGAAAGAGGGAGGGGTGTGTGAGAAGTAGGTGTGGCTATAAGAGAGCAACATGAGGGATCCTTGCAGTGATACTCTATCTTGACTGTATCAATGTCAGTATCTTGGTTGTGATATTGTAGTATAGTTTGCAAGATGTTACTGGGGGAAAATGAGTAAAGGGTACATGAGATCTCTCTGTATTATTTCTTATAACTGCATGTGAATCTACAATGATCTCAAAATAAAAAGATTTAATTAAAAAGAGGGGAGGTGGTGGTGTTCCTGGGTATATACACAAGAGCAATGAGTGCTTCTGTCCACCAGAAGACATAGCAGTACTATTTGCAATAGATCCAATCTGGAAACAACCCAAATATCCATCAACTAGAGAACAGACAAAACTATAGTATATTCATACAATGGTATATTGATCAGCAATAGAAATAAATGAACTACTGATGCATACAACAATATGAATGAATCTCATAGGCATTATGTTGTACAAAAGAGAGCAGACACAAGAGAGAATATCGTATAATTCCATTTATATGAAGTTGTGGAGCAGGATTGGTCATCTGGAGCTGTGGTGGGAGGAATTGACTAGAAAGGAGCACAAGGAAACCTGAGGTTATAGAAATATTCTTGGTTTGGGTGGTAGTTACAGGGTATAAACATGTAAAAATTCAAGTTAGGTGTAAATTACAACTCAATAAAATAGAAAAGAAAAGGGGGCTCTCTTGCTGCAAAAATTTGAAAATACCTAGGACAACGGTTCTCAAATTTTAGTGTGTATCAGAATCAATTTGTGGGCTTCTTAAAACAGATACTGGGCTCCACTTCCAGAGTCTCTGATTCAGTAGGTCTGAAGTGGAGCCTGAGAATTTGCATCTCTAATAAGTAAGTTTCTAGGGGATGCTGTTGCTGCTGTTCCAGGGACCACACTTGGAGAACCACTGCTCTAGACTCTAGAATAGACCCACACTTTCCTGATACAGATGGAATCCCACAGAGAGAAGGGACTTGTCTAAGGTCACACAAGCAGTCAGGCAGATATGAGCCTAGAACTTGCTTTCTAACTCTTCCATGGGTGTTCAAGACCTGGGTCAGGCCTTCTCTGCCATTCAGTAGTGCTCTATTGCATGCTTTCCTATATCCCTTAATTATATTGTCTGAGCAGGAAGGGACCAGAGCTATTCCTGGATCAGTCCTTTCTCCCCATTTTCTAGAGTGGGAAACTGAGGCCCAAGAATCAAAGGCACTTGTCCACAGTCACAGTGGCAGGACTTCGCCTTGAACTATCTCTTGTCTCTGCCCCAGGCCTGTACACAGTCTACCATGGGCCACCCTTAGTGCTTACTCAGCTGCTTTGCTTCCCATTCTCTTCCTAAAGAAAGCTCCCCCTCCTACTATTTACATATCTGTGTACAGGTGATGTTTCTTGAAGCCTTTAGTCAAGATCTTAAGGAAACAGGCCACTCTATTTCCAGATCCCTTTCCAGAGCTAAAACAGAGGGCTCCAAGCCTGTTGCTCTCTGAGAACATCTATTCCCTTCCTTAGCCTAGGGAGCATTCACGGCTCTTCACAATTTGACTTATCTTATCTTCCACTACTGATCATCATCTATCTCCCCCCAGCAGTTTACATTCCAGGCATAGTAGATCCTTGCCAGCCACTCAACATCTCAGATGTGCTCATGCCTATATGCCTTTGTAATAATAATTATAATTAACATTTACGAAGCACTTACTCTATGCCAGACACTGCTCAGTGTGCTTTACAGTTATTACTTCATGTTATCTTCACAGCATCTCTGGGGTAAGGGCAGTTACTAAAGATGAGGAAACTAAGGCACAGAGAGGGTAAGTAACTTGACCAAGGTCACAGAGCTTGGAGTGACAGAGGCAAGATTTGAATGTTTCTTGGAGCCTCAAACTCAGAATGTCTAATAAGC